AGGGGCGAGGCGGCGCTCGCGACGGGCCGTTACAGCCGTGGGCGGCCCCTCAGCGCCCTGCGCAGCGCCTTCCGCTTCCCGGGGTCAGGGGTGCTGGGGGCGGGCCCGCGGGACGCGGCCCTGCCGCCCGGCTGGAACCGGGGAGGGAAATCCGGCCCAGCCCCGCTGAGGGCCGAGGGCTGCGAGCGGCTTCTGCGGCTCGGGTGAGAGCTGAGGGGAGCGGTGCGGGCGGGTACCGCTTCTGACAGCGCAGCCGGGCCGTGGTGCGGCTGGGGGAAGGTGGGAAGAAGCGAGAGTGATCAGCTGCTGTGCAGCGTGCAGCTGAGTAAGTTCAGACTCTTCAGCCTGGTAAAACAACCCAAACCTCCTGTGGCAAGGGATTGTAACATGGTAAGTGGTATTAAAGACAGTAGGTCGGTGTTGATCTTTACCGCCTCTCCCAACACGGTAAGTGTGAAGCATCGGATCATGCCAGCAAGAGGCTGATAAATGGGTAAAACGGAGGATTTTTCGTCTGAGACCCAGCTGTGCAGTTCCTCACCCCAGGATGTTCTGGATGCTAGAAGCTTCTGAGAGTTCAAAGGGAGAGACAGAACAAGTTAACACAAGTGCACAGAGCCTCATCAAATACGCAGAAGCTATCCATGGCACTCATGAAGATACAGAAACTAAATGTTGATAGCATAATTCATTAACAAGCTGGAAATGGACAAAGACTAGATAATTAAAGATGTATTGCATGTGGCACACTGTCTTCCGATTTGCATTGATTTAAGCCATTCTTAAAGCCTACCAGACCTTAGCTGTAACTCTTCTTCGAGAGCTGTTGTCTGTATTTAAGTTTACACTGTGGGACAATGCTCAGCACTACTAGTTGAAGTTTTTATCCACACTAGTATCTATATGGGCAAATATGTGCTGCATACCTCTTGCTGGTGTACATGTATTCATAAAGGATACATTGCATGCTTTTATTTCTCGTTCCCCCTCAATATTGAGTTCCAAGACATGAAGGAATTACTGAGAAAAAGGGCGGGACAGTGGGTTGTGATAATTCCCATGGACTATTGCTCTTGAAGCGGAACAGTTGCGGGTTATTTTTCTTCTTTCCAGTTCTAGGAATAGGTGGCTTAGGAAGAAACACCAAGTCGATATCCCTATTCAGGTGAAACAGTGAAATTATTTGAGGAAGCAATTTGGCTTTGCGTATGGGGTGTTCATATATTTGCTTTACCAATAAAGAAAACTGTCTATAGAATCATAGAATCATTTAGGTTGGAAAAGACCTTCAAGACCATCGAGTCCAACCGTTAACCTAGCACTGCCAGGTCCACCGCTAAACGATGTCCCTAAGCACCACGTCTACCCTTCTTTTAAATACCTCCAGGGATGGGGACTCAACCACTTCCCTGGGCAGCCTGGTCCAATGCCTGACCACCCTTTCGGTGAAGAAGTTTTTCCTAATATCCAACCTAAACCTCCCCTGGCGCAGCCTGAGGCCATTTCCTCTCGTCCTATCACTCGTTACCTGGGAGAAGAGGCCGACCCCCACCTCGCTACAACCTCCTTTCAGGTAGCTGTAGAGTGCGGTAAGGTCTCCCCTCAGCCTCCTCTTCTCCAGGCTAAACAACCCCAGCTCCCTCAGCCGCTCCTCATAAGACTTGTGCTCTACACCCTTCACCAGCTTCGTTGCCCTCCTCTGGACACGCTCCAGCACCTCGGTGTCCGTCTTGTAGTGAGGGGCCCAAAACTGAACACAGGACTCGAGGTGCGGCCTCACCAGTGCCGAGTACAGGGGGACAATCGCTTCCCCTGTTTGTGATGGGGCCTGAATTGCCTTTACCCTCCGACTGAAGAAGCAGCACTAGGGCAGCTATATTCCCTGAAAGGTGAAGGAGAAACAACGGTGGATAAAGGGCGCAAGGCTTCCGAGATTAAAGATGTGAGCTTGGGCTTGATTACTGCTGA